GTGGAACTTTAGCCTTATTGTAAGGGCTTCAAGCGAGTGCGCAATAGGCCTTGAAGTGCCCCTCAGTTCCATGCTGCACATCTACTGGGAACAGTGACGTGCTGGTGACTAAAAAGACCTTGCCGCACTTAGAGCCTCGGCGTACCTATCCGTACCTAAACCAGTGTACAAAATAGGAGTTGCGGGGGCCGGCCAGTCTTCAACCCTGCAAAGACAACCTCGGCCATATGCTAGAAAGTTGCCGGGGGTACGCCACGCGCAGTGGTGATCATAGCTATTTCTCGTGCATGCAGAGAACGTGAATACAAAGAGCGTGATCGGAAGGCTCAGCCTTTTTACTTATGCGAAGAATAAACATCAATAAGATGATGAGAGCATTTCATAAACAAAAGCATTTCATAGACAAGCGCCAGTGCAGCAAGCAGCTTGTCAACAGAGTGCTCGGGCGAGGAAGATAGAATATGATGACAACCTTCTCAACGCATACATGGCGACCTACGCCGCGCCCCCTGAACACCTGGTGATGCCGTGTCTGAACTTGGGGCTTTTTCTGGTGGTTGCAGTTGTTAACCAGATTATATGGCAACCTCTAGCGCCAATGTCTGATGGAGGTCAAACTGGATTTCAGAGAAACTGTGCAAAGCCTCCGAGCAAACATAGTTTTCTTTTATGGTGGCCTTGTCCCAGGGTCAATAGGATGATGGCTCAGCCTGTGTAAATCCCTGAAGATTGCGCCGAATAATGCGATGAGCTCAGGGCCCCATGGGTGACCACACGAACAAGCTGGAGGCGGGTATTTCAAGGTTACTGTCAGACAGTGCAGTCAGCATATAGATGGACGCACCTTCGTTGCAGTACGCGTTTGCCGAGCTCGCAGCCTACAGCGACACCATGACGCTGTCTCCAAGCGCATCCGAGGCAGTGGTTATTCATGAGAATTGCTTTGACAATCACATGCTTCAGAACGTCTGGAAGTCGAACTCCTTGTTTCTGCCTCCCGGAGCACAGGTGATAAGCCCTCGGGCATCCATCGTCTCTCTCGACGTGGACTGCTGCGTACGGGCTTGAGCAAAGCATAATAAGATGCCTTGCCCCCCAAGACATGCTTGCTGACCGCGCACGACAGCTTGCAGTTGAACCGACGATGAACACATGGCAACTGTTCATGGGATTCCACGGGGTAACCTAAAAGCTCTCGCAGTTGCAGAGGATGAGGACCACGATCCTGGCAAGAGCCAAGGCACTGCGCGCTGCAAGGGGTTTAGTACATAGGGAATACAAGCAACCCAGTCAAGCACACAACAAGGCGTAATGAGCCATTGGTGTGTCGCTCCAGCTGGGACAAATTGTGAAGTAGTGTTTCACTCCTACCGCGGTCTTGTGCTCGAATGCGGCAAGAGCATGCTAGAAAGCTTTGCATACCTTGTGTTCAGCCAAGAGCTGACCTGCTCCACTCATGCAGCGCTGAAGCCTCCACAAACTGGCCAGAACCAACTGCTCACGGATGGTCCCCTCCCTGTGCTAAACTTCTACGGGCAGCCCTGTCCCCTGGTCTGACCTGCCAGACGCGGCGGCCAAGACGGCTGCAGCTGCGCAGAACAACTCAAGGTGGGGCCAACAGCTGGAGATGATCATGGCTCGAAGGTTCCTGGAGCTGAGCCCTGTGCTGGGAGCGGATCCCAGTGCCTTAAGAAGCTCGCGAGAGCCAGCTGTAATTAGACCACTTAGACCTATCCCCAAGCAGTAAGGCAGAGGCTCCAACAACGGGTGAGTGTGCAGGTGTCGTTGCTGCCGGAGATGTTGTCGCGGGTGAGAAACTCAGCTGGATCATTCACTTGGCCTGGAGTCGCTGGGCCGTGCCAATTGTCAGCACATTGCTTGGGTTGGCAAGTAAATTAGAAGCTTGTCGGGAGGATGGGGACCCAGGTGGATATTCGCAGTTTAATGGGCGTTTGCGCAAGGCACCTTTTATTTAGGACGAAAATGGGAGACGCTAAGTTGGGAGACTACCCAGGTGTTGGAGCAAATCCGGCACGTCCTTCAGCCTCTTCTGTCACACAGCTCCAGCCTCGGCTCCCCCAGTTTCCATTTCATTTTCCATTTTCTTTTCCATTTGATTAGCGCTCGCTATGCTCAGAGCACGCTCGAGCTGCGTTCAATTCAAAATTTCCATTTGATTCTCCATCATAGGGGGATAATATAGTAACCCCAAACCCTAAACACACAGCTCCAGCCTCGGCTGCTGTGCTGTGGCAATCCTGCTCGGCAGTAAAACGGGTCAGAATTTTGGAGTTATATTGGGAAAATGGAAAATTAGATGGAAGCTACTATAGTATATTGGGGTTAACGGTCATACTAGTAAGAACTTTTTCCTTGTACTGCCGCCGCATGACTGTTTTCAGTCTGCTTGTTTCGCATCCCTCCTCCATATGGCTAGGGATCAGCAGAGCAGTGTATGATCCTAGTGAATATCGTCCATTTCTGGAGTCAACATGGATGAAAAAAACTTCAGGAAAAAAATATCAGTTCTTGCTGTACTCAGTGCGGAGCCGCATCATTTTGGGGTTTAGGTTGGGCTTGATGATCAACTGGCATGATCGGCTCAGGCATAGCTTACCTCGAGATCATTGTTTGACGTGACTTCTTGCGGAGCTTCGCTGTGTTGGATTTAACATTGATAAGCCGGAGGCTTCAAGTTCACTGTGTGATTTGTTCTTCACGTCCTCACCTTCGTTGTTCACAGCATCGTTGATCAACGATTGCGACATCATCCTTCATGAAGCTGCCAGGAATAGGTTTGTAGCAACAGCCCCATCAACCCTACAGCCCAAAGGTCGCAGGGATGCTGAAATGCTATAAACAACACCCAGAGGTTTGAGAGGTTCCTGACACAAAAGGGTCCCTTGGATGAGGTTCAGTTGCCCCAACTTATTTTGCTCACATCCACCTAGATGCCACCGCTTCCCAAGGTGATGGGCCTGGTGTTGGGCCGCTTGGCTACCACAATACGGACAGCCTTAGAGTTCTTTTGGCCCGGCTGCAGTTCGGGTTTGGGGTATCATGAGGTATGTCCTTTCCAGTGTTGTTTGGCCCCATAAGTTCCCAAGAAGCTCGCGTGATCTGATGTCCACAACTTTGCAGACATAGGGATAGCCCGATCTGCCTGCTCCGCAGAACATCGAGGCCTGAAAGAAAGATGAGGACAGGATTTGCATCAAATTGTCTAGTTCTTAAACCCATGGCATTGGTTTCAGGGAAACATGCCGCACATAATAAGGACTGGAAGTCCTCTCTTTTGATCCTCAGCCCTGCGTGGAATCAGCCATCACATCAACCTGCATCGCTTTTTGCACTCCAAGACTTCAGCCTACCAAGGATGGCTTGTCGCGAAGGCAGCAAGAGGGGGCTACATTGCACATGTTTGAAAAGGTTCACATCAGCTTCTGGGGCGTACTTTTGCTGAGGGTTGGGCTGAAAAGACATCGTTGTCTAGAAATGTGAAAGAGTGCTCGCGCTTGAGGCTCACCGCATAAAAGTAGTACAGAGCGTTCCCAAGTCCTCTTACTGACGATTCAGCTCATGCTACTGTACCAGACAAACGTTCAGGAGTTGCGTTGAATCTGAAGTTTCTTGACAACTGTCAAGCTTCTCCACTCCAAGCGCAGGACTGGTTGTCAGATGGCTCCTTACAAGATGAGGGGCTTTTTGAAAACCGTAAGATCTTCCTGCGCAAGCAGCTCTGCAGTAGACGTGAGCTCGGCTGATTCAGGTGGACTTCCGCCAGCTTTTCACGGACATGGTTGTGGGACATGGGCTGGCTTCAACCCGCTGACGTTGGCGTGCTCTAGAACCCACAAGTGCAAAAAACAACGTTTGTCTAATTGTCTGTTCAGCTTTTCACATTCAGCTGTCCCAAAGCTTCTGAAGTAAAATCTTGCAAGCTATCTGAATGCATTCCGTTTCACCGCTTGCTGGTGCTGTAAACTTTGCTGGCGCACAGAGAGCCCTGCATTTGGCATTCAGTTTGACAGTCTTTGGCTCACCCATCACATTGTCCAAGACCATGCGAGTAGTCTGGATGAGACTGATCAAAAGTCAAAAGATACACGCAGCTACCGAACAGTGCGGTATGCATCAAGAGCCAGGGTCCGAGGCTTTCTGTGCACTGCAGCAAGAGACTGCAGCGATTCCAGTTTCATCAGCGCAAGGATGTTAACGACGTGCTCGCCTCGCAAGTTGCAGGTATTATTTGCTCCTGACCTAGGCATGTTGCTAGTAAACAACCGTGCCCGGAAACCGACATGCTGAGGCATTACATCCACCCAATGAGCCCGCATGAAGCGCAGCACGAGCTGAAGGATGTTGCAGAGCTTTATAATTCCCTGCCCTGGCATTTGGCATCCATGGACTTGCTTGTGGACAATGGTTGCGATCTTCGGGAAAACTTGCCTCACTTGAGACTTGTGATTTGCGTGCGGGCACGCCAAGCACCGCCCGGCGGAAAAAATGTTGCTGCCATGCTGGCTGCTGGCTTTTGCCAGCAAAAGAGCTTCTTGAGCTCGCGTGCGCAATTCTTGCAGGGCCGGCTGCACGACTAAAACGCTTGAGCTTCCAGCTTGGACTGCTCCAAGCTGAAAACCCATTTAACTCTAAATGCCTTTGGAATGATACTTGTACTTGGACCTTCCATAGGATAGGAGCTGAAGAGAAGACTTCAGCGTTAACAGGACGTTTGGCAGGATTGCGTTTTGGGCCTGCATTTTGAGACCTTAATTTTGATTGGACAGAAATGTTCCTTGACAGCATGCCTTGTGGCTTGCGCATAGTACATGCCTTCACATGTAGAATCGAGGGACCCATGTCAGGCAAGGCAATAGTCTTGGTTTCGAGCACCAAAAATGAAGGCTCTTGAGCACCGCTGGCCAGGGCTTCGAGCCCGAGCTCCAGTTCTAGAGTGCCCCTCCCCGAAATAATCGGCATCGCAGCCTAACCCTTCGCAGATCTCTTTCGTGTCGAAACTCACAGCGGAGATGGACATGGTTGACGGCGTTCCTGTCACTGAGCTCAGTCTCCGCTGGGTCTTGAATCTTCGAGTGTTCGAAGAACAGAAGCAAAGAGGCAGCACGAACTCAACAACCCAGTGCTGTTGCGCTGCCAGCTTGGTTGGGGCGTCGCTGGCCTGTGGTGATACCCGTGATACTTGTTTTTGGGATTTGGTCCTGTGGCCCTCTGAGCCAAGGGTAGATTTTGTTGCCGACGCTCGGACTAGAGTCGCATGTCAGCGTCAAACTCTAGGGTTCGCTGAACAGCATCAGACAAGCCGGAGGGTACCATTTCCTGTGCTGCTAAGGTCAACTACCGCTTTGGTATGGTCGTTGCCTCTATGATTGAGAGGCCAATGACCAAGCACTCTGCACCATCCAGTGTAGGAGACCTTTTCTGCCAAGTGACTGACTGACTTCTCAGGAAAATCTGTTCAGGGGATCCAAGGTTTTCGGCAGGGTCCGCGTTGCTTCTTCAAGTGATGCGTCTTTGACTGCTTGAGTAGGGTAGACGATGCCCCAGTCTCGGCTTGTTCTTCAGTCAGGAATGTAGAGTGCAGCAATAGGTGCGGCCCGGTGCGGCTTGGGTAAGAGACACATCGCCAGGATGTACAAGGAGCCGCCACCAAAGGCACCTCCTTCAATGCCGGAGGTGTGCTGCTTAGCCTCCACTGTCACAGAGTTGCAGCAGCCAGAATGCTGGAAGGAAACTTGCAGACACGAACTCCCGTGTTGTTTCCATCATGCTGCCATCAGGGGGATGCTAGAATGTAATGGCGTTAAAGAGCATATCGGCTTCTGATAAGATGGCCCTGTAGGTTTTGTCATTGTTTGAAGAATGAAGCCGGCTCATCACTCTGGGAGGAAAGGCACCGACCCATGGCCAAACCATGGGCCCAGATTCCACTTCTAGGCCCAAGAGTCTATTGTGTTATTGCTCTAGCATTATTGGTGTCGCTGTGTATGCTCAGTTACCCAGAATGAGGTTCCGGTGCGCATCGTTCTCACAGGCAAGCCGTATGCAGGCAGGGGGCGGAGTGTCATTCAATGGTGGCTTGGTTTTCTACTCTCGCACACGCACGCAAGTCCCACACTGCATGCAGTCCCGCATATTCGGCCAGAAAAGGCCCAAAAGATTAACATCCACATTTTGCAGAGGTGAATCTGCCAATCTTGAGGAGACAAACTGGGCCCGCGCACGTTTTTGGCAACTGATCCATCGAGCAGCGCAAGAAGTGCTTCTGCCCCAAAGCTGTTTTGTACATCTCTAATCCCAAGCACCAGAGGCTTGCATTAGATATTGCGTTGGACCGCTTGAAGAATTCCCGGCACCCAGCAAAGCCACCAGGAAAGCGGACAGTGGCAAGACGACTTGCTGAAGCCTACGGACTCGAGGCGATTAGATGAGCAAGTCAGCATACTACAGAGACATGAGATGAAATCATGTTTCTAAGTCTAGCGGGACTGTGGAATCTTCATCTCTCTCCCACGAAGCATCAGGATGTAGTCGAAGGACATTCACCGTCGAAAAGAAGAAAATAGCTTCGACAAACTTACGCTTCGGTGGAGAGTGAGGAAAGTGCAGAGCTGTCTCTCCCAGCCCTGGGTCGAAATCCTATGTAGGCAACGCGTAAGTGCAACACTGACGTGCAACAGATCAAGAGGTCATCACATGATGTGAAAACCAGCTGAGAGGTGTTGAACCTGGACGAGCTGGTCCACCACTGCCTCGAGCTTGGCCCGCAGCCGAGATTGGTATGACGTTGCTTTGACTTTCCATCATCGGATTAGCATAAAGCATGCAGCCGGCAATGAAGGGTTCTGGGCCTGGTGGTACAAGTAATCAGCATTAGCCAGGACAATGCCGGTTGCTTTCTGCTGGTCTTGTGGATGAGGGAACCCCAGCCCCACTGGATGCCCAATGCTACGGCTTGAAACCACTCAACGTTTCTGCCTGCTTTCACAGTCCTTGTCCCCGCCTTGAACTATAATTTGAAAATGAGAAAAATCGTTGCAAGTAGATGTAAATTGCATTGGCCGGCAAAAAAACATAGCATCATATGCTGCAGATTCTTCGGACGCTGCGATCTCCACGCGACTTTTCTTTCCATGCGCAGGCAAAGGGGAAGCAGAGGATGCCGAACCGAGTTCGTGCCTTAGCAGTTGCAACTTCTTGTTGCCGCTGCAACAGCCACCACTGGGGCCGCCACTACCATGACCACCGCCACCAGCCGCCGGCAGCAGCCATCATTTCATCTACCACCACCGTCAACACCACATACAAAGACTGCGTTCCATGCCCACTGAAGTTCTGGCACAGCTGTTCGGCTGAGGTGAGCTGCAGGACCGCGATTGCTTGGGCTGGAACACTGCAAGGGCTGTTACACTGTTAGCACCAACATCTTCATCGGGTCGTTCAGTCGTTGTGATTTCTTAGGTTGTGAGTGCCTGCTTGGGACTGGTTAAGGAGCACTCGTAGACAATGAGTCGGATTGAAGCGCAAGTGCGCGAGGTTTAGGTCCGGAAAGTCTACATGGCAGCTTGTGGTCACACATGCATAGCCCAGCACACCCCTCTCCCGAAAGTACTACCAGTACAGAATCGCCAGCCGGCGTCACTTTGGAGGCAGTTGGCCAGAAACTTGTGGCACTGCTTAATGCTGGGCAGGCTTGGCACTTGGGAGATGCGGGGGGGGGTTGACCTAGAATCTAGAAGGTTTGTGCAACATGAGACAGCCTTTGGTGTTCGTGAAGGGCTCCGTGGACTTGATGCAGTATTTCACAGCTGGGATTTATTTGGTCTAAGGCGTTTGAGTTGATGGTGAAATGGTTTGCAATGCCAGCTGCAGTCAAAGCAGTTTGCCAAGGGATGCCAAGGGTCTTGGGAAACATCTGCCACTGCTGTGCTTGTGCAGAAAGATACTTTCATGCAGCCGCATAAGCCGCAAGCCTTGACTGTCCCTTGGAGTCCTTCTAACAGCAGTAGCCGAGTAGTCACTGAGTAGTCTTGTGTGCATTCAATAACATTCAGTCAAAGTAATGCTTTTACCAGGCTGTGCCGGCCGAGCTGTATGTCGCAGACCTTGGCTTTTCGCTTTGGGACTCTTTGCTCATAATCTCCCAGCCTTGTTGGAACATTCTGGCATCGAGTCAGTGAAGCCATTTGATCATGATGCCGTGGGTCTGCTTTGTTGAGCACGCTGTTGCACTATTCTCATGGAGCCCAAGCTCGCCATCAGAAGTCGACTGCACAGCCCTCTACCCAGGTTCAGATGATCGTCACAAAGTTACGGATGCTCTTTCCCGAGGACATCAAGGCTCCCGAGGCACCTTGGGCTGACTCTGGAGTTGGCCACGGCACCTCAACAACTGCTTCCATGTTTTCCAGGATCCCCTTTTAAGTGAATGCCGGTTTGCTTCGTGAATTCTCTGCGCAAACTAAAGGAGCGAGGTATGTTGCCAAACCTTTTGCGTGGATCTGGCATGCAAGCTTCCATGCAGCCAATTGGTTGGAGTGCAGGCAGAGGAGCCAGCTGCCGATGGGCAGGAGGTCGTGGAGGTCCAGAGAAGAGCATTGCATTTCGATAATATGACATTTAGAAATTCCATGGCAACATCTGCCCTGCAAAGCACTTGCAGGCCCTTGCACGACAGGCTAGCCCTCCGACAGAAGAAGCGACGACTGCAGAGGCCAGAAACTGGGAAGGTTCCATGGTTCCATCGCACCGGCTTTCACGACGCATGGGCCACCCAAAGGGGGATAGTTGATTGATACAGACAATGAGCGCTATGAGGTTTTCTTGAAGTTCGGTCAGATTTGGGTTACCACAACTGCCACCGCTACTAGTACTACTACTGGTACTCCTCCTCCTCCTACTCCTTCTACTAGTACTATTAGTACTAGTAGCAGTTGCTTATCACTTGCGGCAATGTTGTTGTGGTTACTGTTGTTCCTCATGTACAGTACTCCAGAATAGCATGGCCTGGACACCTCCTTCGACACAAAAACGTGAATCCAGAGTCATCCAACACCGCTGATAGACATTGCCAGATGTTCACTAGGAGGCCTGGCACCAACAGCATTCATTGGGCAGAATGAGCCATGGCAACAGCAATCATTCGACGTCAGACTTTGCACATAACATGCCACCTCGGCTGCATGAAGTTGATGACTGTTGCAGAGTGTATATACATATACGTATCAACAGGACTTTGGATACCTAGACAGCACTGTTAGAACCTTTCGGAACAAAGCACACAGGCATCAGTTGATATTTTTAATAACAAGGGACCTGCAGTATGAGGAGCTGCTGACAGACAGTTCGGAACTGAACCGGATTGCTTCTAAGAGCGAGCCGGAGAGAACGAGAGGGAGTGAGAGAAAGAGGTTCGTTTGTTGGTTTCGTTTACTTGTCTAATTGGTCATCTTTTTGTTTGTGGAATCCATTGAAGAGGCCGGAGTCTCACGCAATGACCTCGAGACCTTACGGATGGGGGAGGGCCTTCAGTCCAGGGGGCCTAGCCATCATTCTACTAAGCCCTAAGCAACGCAAAGCGAGAGAGAGGAGAGAGAGAGAGAGCAAAGTAAAGCGCTGCATAGCCCATAGAAGAAGAAGAAGAAGCAAAGTAAAGCAAACGTGTGCCACAGAGCAAAGTTACGGTCAATGGCTCCCATGGCAGTGTGCTGCGCATACAGTGGCCCAGTATCGGTGAGCAATGCGCGGCCACAAGACCTGCTGGTCATTAGTAACCTTGGGCATTCTCACGTTGAAGCAGCGCCGAATGGGACCACGTCTGCTGGTGTGCTGCTTTGTAGGTGGATTGATCTAAGAGCCCTGAAGTTGCGACGTGGCCCGGATATGGATGCTGTTGCGGCCCTCCTGGGTGGGACCCGGACACGTGGACCAGCTTGGGGCTTCGGGCATGGCCCGAGGAGGGCTGCAAGGCCCCCTATGGCCCATTGAAAAGGAAAGAGATGTGATGTGGCACAGGGTCCCAAGTACTGAAAAGGACAAGCTGGTCGGACTGGAGGTGTGCGGACCTTTTAGGGTTTAGGGCTGTGCACTGGAGCCTCCTAAGAGGCGTATAGGTCCAAGAAGAAGAAGAGAAGCAAGAAGTGGAAGAAGTAGAAGAAGAGAGTTGTTCCTCTTGTTGTTCAGCTGGGCAGGCAGCTGGCAACTCGGAGGAGAAGCCGGAGGCCAGTCTCCCTTTCAAAGCATACCGAGTGCCAGGGCAATTCCCAGGAAGATGGGCCGTTGTGTAGACCTCAAATCGTTTAATGGTAGGATACGCAAAATGTAGAACATTATGTGCTTCGAAGCTAAGGAGTTAAGAATGTAGTATACAGCAAGAACTCGCAAATCTCCCACATTTATGACTGCATATGTTTGCACTCGTGTTGCATAGGATACGTATAGGCACAAAGCTTCTAAAACGGATGTGCAAGCATGTGATTGAGACCTGCCATGATGTGTTGTACTCCATCCCACAGCTCTACCAGTGGCGTCTGCACATTTCAATGCTCGCGTGCACAAACAAGAGGCCCTGGCGGAGCCGGGTGCTGCGATGGCCAGCGCTGAGGCAAAGGTGTTGTGATTAGTACGCACTGTGACAGTGAGAAATCCTTGGCAGACTTCATTATCACGGCCAAAAGGCGTTACAGGCAAAACCCTGCGTCAACTGCACGGTGACAGGTGAAGCCTCTTGCACCATGCCGCTGAAAGCTGCAGTAGACCTCAACAAAAAAAGCCATAACACTTAGCTGCCTCAGCGGACCACACAGAGAAATCGTTGATTTGTCCCGATCTTCATGGCCATACCAACGCTGTCGTTTCTTGGTGTGTCCTTCTGCAATCATCCTTGTGGCTATGATGATTTTCGTTGCAGTGGGTGTTATGCTAGTTGCATATTCTTAACATCAACACCTTCGTGTAGGGGTCTGCTTGCCCGAAATCCTCCAAGACTCTATTTGGATCCGGTGTGTGCAGTTATTGTGCAGGAATCAACTTTCTATGTCCTGCAAAGCGTTGTGTGATCATGGTTGATCCGTTCCGGTCTTATGAACTTTGTCTCTGCGGCTACGGAATTCTTTTTATTGCTATCAGCTAGACTTCATCCAGCCACTGCTGCTCGTATCGCTGCAAGTACAAGACTTTACAATGCTTTGCTGAATCTAGTAAGTTGGGCGACTCTTCAAATAGTCTTTCATGGCACGATGAACCCAAGGTCTCATGTTCGGGTCCTTTCCGGAGTCTTCCAACAGTAACATGAAGATGTGCCACATGTCAAACTAGCCTTCTCACGGATTGGGAAGCAGTTCGCCTAGCGAGGATGGCACGGTGGATGCTGAGAACCAGGCGGAACTCGGCAGGGCACTTTCATGGGTGATTTTTAGCAAGGGATCTGAAATGGTTGCAATATTTGACCACAAATAGTTCTTGCATGCATCCTGTCTACATGCGCAGTGCAAGTTCAGTGCAGCTGAATGAGGTTCGCGTTGATTCCGCCAATTCTGCATGCATCATGCAGAATCAGGGCTACGCTTGCTTGGAGTCACTGAAGCATTTTGACACAAGTTGGAAGGCAGCAGATGGGGCAGCCGAAGCCGCAGCGGTCCAAGGCCGATTCATTTTTTGGCTTCTTACCAGTCGCTTGTTGCAGCTAGCTGCGGCTAGCTGCAGCTAGCTAGCAAGCAGTGCCTTGCTGTCAAACAGGTGGTGGAGGTGGTGACCCACTGCTGACACCGCGTGGGTGGACCCTTGGTGCAGAGGCTAAGTTACAGGTAGCTACAAGGCTACTACAGGGGATGTTTGTGGCCCTGCCTGGTCGCCTGGATCTTGGGAGAGTTGGCGATGTAGCTCTAGTCCGGGGTGTTACCAGAACGGTCACAGCTTAGAGTTGGCTGCACGCACACAAGGATTCTGCTTGGCTTCCCTGATGATGCGGTCAGGGCCGGCGCCTTACAAAGCACGCTTCGCAGCACAGCTTCAAGCAAGTTAACCCACAAACATAATCATGAGTACGCGTGTCATTCTCACTACTACGATGAAAAATCCGACCGTATTTTTATCTTCAGCATCTGCCCTGCCAAGAGAATCCAGTACAGCCGGCTTTTACATTGATGATTGCGCTTTGTCTTGCTGTAAGTGAACAGTTATCTCCGCTGTCTGTCGCTGCTTGACTTGAAAGCGCTGCCAGTTGGCTCTCCTCGAGAGATTCCTTAGCGGCTTTGTGCGCCCGCAGGTCCTCAGACAGGGCGGGTAGGTGGTCATCCTGGATTTGGTTGGTCGATAGTTCTAGCGTTGAAGCGGTTGATATGGGAGTTGTTCCTTTAACGCTACATAAACCCTACAAACATCACGTGGGTCCCTCAAGTATTTCTACGTTGCGAAACATACATGGGCATGAAAATTCAAGAAGGTGTTGGAGACGATGCAGGAGCGATGGGCTTGAAGGGAAGTCTGAGGCTGCTACTCTTGGGGATCCTGCTTTTGACCAGCAGCGTGGTTTTCGGATACTGAGGAGAACGTTTTGCTTTGATACCCAGAGTTTCCGGTTTCCCACGTATCACGCTCAATTCGTGCGTCAGTATTTCAAGAGTTCTCGGGAAGGCTGCAGTTGTTGCATTTGTTGCTTCAGGTCACGTTTGGATCCAGGTTCGTATCAGCGCGCTTTGTGGTCATAATCCAGGTTTGGATTCCTGGGTAGAACTGGTAGAGGGGCGGCCACGCTGGCAAAGCCACAGCTGGTCAACTGAACCTGGCTGTCTCTAACCCAGACAGACCTCCTTCTGCAACCCCAAGCCAGGAGAAGACAACAGAAGCTCCTGTCCACTGAAAATGCAGCCAGTCCTTTGCATCTTGGAAATCGCATCTGCTTGTCCTTTCTGCAGGCTCAACCCACGCCGAAGGCCTACCTGCTTCGAAAGGAGGCCTGAACAGCAAGAGGGTTTGTGCGGGATTGTTGTAGGTGTGGGGTACCAAGCAAAACGTGCAGGCTTGTTTGGAGCTTGAACAGCCATGTGAGACGACCCGACGGAGTCTGCTGTCGTTCGAGGTGCTTTCCCACATTCGTGTTTTTTCTCCAAGTCAACTGGCTTTCTCGTTTTTTCCAAATACAAAATTGAGAAAGCGAGCAAACCCGGAGAAAGCGAGCATGTGCGTTTTGTGGGACAGTCGACATTTGATTTTTCCCACACCAGCTAGCCTTCTTGTTTTTTTGATTTTTTTTGAGAAAGCGAGCAGAAATTGAGAGAGCGAGTAAAAGCAGTTGAATGCGCGAAAGGACCTTCGATGTCGGATCGGTTGGCTTGCTTTCAATCGGAAATTTCTGAATACCTGCTGTGCATGGTCCGGCTGAAAGTAGGAAAGCAACGGGTAAGTACTGCAATGCAGAGAGGGCTAAGGTCGAGGGCGGTAGCATGCTGCAGGCACGCAGTTGCAGCTCAGCACCCCAGATGGTGTCTGCTTAGATCTCACCTTCATTCCTTCATGCGTTTGCATCTCGTGTCCTAGGTGCTGCCAGTTATGTGTGGATATGTGGACTCGCGTTTTATTGGGGGGCATTCCGAACATTCCCAGGAAGAAGTGCAGACTTGGTTCCGGTATTCTATCAATGCTAGGGGGACTGAGAGCCACCGCTGTCGCAGGCAGAGATCATTGCGCCACGGCCTCCAGAGGCATCTAGCACGATTTGGTTTTTGGCAAATTCAGCTCAGGTTGGAGGGGTTTGAAAGGATAAATTGAAATGAGGGCCAAAACTCGCAGGCATGAGAAGCAAGTGTAGGCTCGCTCCTAAATCTAAGAAAGGCATCCAAGACATGTTCGCCAGGAGCCGGAGGAAGCGATACGTCAACCAGGAGGCCCTGAGCAGTGAAGGGAGATCCTTTGCTACTTCTTTGTAGTGTTATCAAAAACAACTCAAAACAGCCATTGTTACTGTTTCTAGCTTCTTAGTAGGCTGTTGATCTCCTTCAAAGGGGCTGATGCCTTCAGCTCCAGTTGAATGGAGCGCGTCCGTAGAGAAGTCCAGCATGCGAGATCACCTTGTCATGAAGCCCGTGAAAAGATGACTCCTCAGCGACATTCATATACTAGGTACATTCCTGCAGAACTTGTAGGCATAGCAGACCTGACAACATCAGTAGCATGCATAGTTGATAGGACGTATTCATGGTGATGACTGCGTGTGAAGATCAGCCACGTGCTGCGCTTGTTGAGGCTACGACCTCCACTTCCGGCTGGACCTCTCCCTCAACGAGTCGGTTCGCCGCGCCTGCGGGCGACGTTGGGGCCTTGCCTAGGGACTGCTGGATAGTTACTTAGCATCTCCATCATGGTTCCTCTCTCAATTCTTGCGCGGCATGCTCCTCAACTCCCCCCCAGGAACACGCGACGGTTCAAAAGTTTGGCCTGTGCATGCTGATAAACTTTAAGTTCTCGGAGCCGATGCGCATAATCCTCCCCAAAAGCCGAAAGCAAGGGATCGATCCGACCACGAGCTTGGAGTATCACATCGAGGTGAGGGGTGTGGAAGGGTTTTTCACTGCACTGGCTAATGCCTTTAGATCATTAGCCATGCCTTCTTTCCGGCCTTGTTAGCACTTGAGCATGCGAGGCTAGGTTGAGGCCCGAAAGGTTGCCTTGAGCAAAGCACATTGCACTGAAGCTTGAGGCGGGTGAGCGCTTAGGTCGTACCTTCTTGCGCTTTTGCTTCCCTGTTGTTGTCAAACTTCGACCCCTCTCGAGCCCAAGCTTGCAGTCTTTCAGCTGTCTTTTTGTCAGGACCACCCTCCTCCAAACAAGAAGTCTGTCATCTATGAGAGGCCGCACTCGCTGTGGGCCATTCTTGATTGCGTGACTGTAAAGCAGCTACAGCAGGAGTTCTGGCATGGCGACCTGTTTCCAGAAGACTGTTGCTGCTCCTGCAGCTGTTCGTCAGCATCACTGACGCTAATGCTACTGAGGTATTACTTGATGATTATCCACTCCTTAACCGCAGGCTAGAGCCAGCAGACAGCCTGGAGAAGCCTCTTGGCAGAAAGCGAGAGTGGCGCTCGTGGCCTCTTGCAACATCCGACAATGACATGTTTTGCCAATATGTGTGCTTGCCAATCTTTGGCAAAGACTGAATACTGACGTGAGCAACGCAGGATCCCCCAAAATGTCCACACGATGCCTTCAGTAGAAGGACTGTGACCATTGAGGGTGGAACTTGTAGGAATGATCGGAGTTTGATGCATTCTCAGTGACTGAGTGCCATAGTCAATCCAAGCCAGCTTTTCCCGCCTTCCACACAAGAGGGGCAGCATTTGCTGATGATAGCAGCAGTTTCTCGTTATAAATGGTCCAGCAGAACAGCTTGGTTCATGGTGAACAGCAAAGTCAGTGTATGGCTTGCAGCCCTAAGCAATTGTTGAAGATTGTTCGCCTTCACATGGGACATTGAAGCGTGTGCCTTCACATGGGACATTGAAGCGTGTGCTGCGCGCAGCTATTCGTAAGATTGCCTGCCATTGACCTAAACCACAGGTCCATGGGCACGCTTACACAGCGCATCCATCTCTTTGATGTCTCGCAGGAGGAGGCCTGCCTTTGATTGGGCTCGGTCCTCTCAAGTTGTTTAAGCCCAAGTTGTGGAGAGTCTGAACATATTTTCTGGCGTTAGTGGGCTTTCTTCTACGAGTTTTCATGCCTGTGGAGCAGTCCTGCTGGGGGTTTGCATTTATCATTGGCATGCCACTGTGAGTCCTTGACGCAAAACAGGGACGCAGTGCGTTTGGTGCCCTTGCAAATCATCGCTTTTTCCTTGAGGTAGATGAGATTTTGGGCCACTTCGGCCCTTACCCCGATGTCCCACGGCTTGTCGAGGCAATTCTGTGTGGGGTCTTGTGTCCAGAAAAGGAACATGCAAATTTGTTTGGCGTGTGTTGTTTCAGTGTCCCTGATGTTCACAAAATAGTAGCAAGGGTCACGTGCAGCGTCTCATCTCAAGTGGAGGCTTTTGAGTAGAATTGTTCAGCACAAACATTTTCGCGTTTGCTTGAAGAAGCCTATCATGTTCCTGCTCCCCCGTGCATCTTTGGATTGCTGCGGACTGTCACCATGCATCATGCATCATGCATGCTTTGCTGGAATGTTTGCCTGCCAAACGGTATAGATGTAAGCTTCGGACGTCAGTCGGTTAGATTAATCAGGCATCAAGCACTTTGGCTCCTCCAATAATGCTAGAAAAACAATAGAATAAACTACAAACAGTCAAGATTGGAATTGACATCACTGAGGATCTGGTCGCAGAATATAAGGGCTTGCTGCAAGGTTTATCTTTGGCAGAAGGGAAGCCTGCGTGCAAGGTTGGGAAATCTTATGCGGGATCTGCACGAAATCAATTTGGGTGGCACAAGGGGGACGTTGCACCGTTTGCTGTCTTGGTCTCCTTGAATCTGCAACACCGTAGATGTATTTCAGGAAGACCATTTCCTCACTTGCACCCTCCTGCACATGACCCGAGTCCTTTCTTTTTCCTGAGATTGATGCTAGCGGCAGCAGTGACTCGACCTACGAGGCAGTCGAGGAACAGGCCTGGAATTGCTCTTGTGTATCGGGATTTGTTGACGTATTTTGTTTTGGATGATTAGGTTTGGGCAGTGGCCAAAGTCTTTGTAAGCTCGTCCGTTAGTAGGTTGCGTGGAGAGATGCGCTCCGGTGCACCCAGTGATGTTCTAAGGAACCACAGCTCCACAGCTTATGAGGGGTTGCACGTGGGCGTGGCTTTTTTGCGTGTTTCGGCTGACCATGAGACTAAGTAGCAGCTAGCAGAACTTCACCATGGTTTAAAGGTTTTTAATCGAGCTGACCGGCACAAGACAGCGTGGCTCGAAGGCCAAACTTCACTCCTCCGACCAGCTCTGACCAGCAGGCACCACACAAGAGCCATGACGGAGGCCGAGGTTGTTATGCGCAATGAGTCCGGGTACATCACCCACACAGGCAAGAAGGACTTTGGTCCGCTGGAATTTACGGGAAAGATTGCCGGAGGACTGAGACTGGACCTGAAGCGGCGAGCGCCCCTCTACTGCAGCGACTGGACAGATGCCTTCACTCCGGACAACTTCCAGAAATCCGTGTCCTCCATTCTGCGCCTCGGAAACAGAGGGTTCTATGCTGTTGTTGCCGACGTGTCTTAGGCTGCCCAAATCACTTTGGAGGTCTAGTGGTTTGGGAGTTCATTGCTGTTGCTGTTGGTTTTGGGGTTTTGTGGCAACTTGGCTGTTTCGCTTGTCTGCTTGTGGGCTTGGTGGTTATTTTCTCCTTCTGGACTTCGCAGCTTCCAGTGTTTGAGATTTGGGTTTGCATGTTATGTTTGCCTTCTTGTTGCTGAGGGTGGTCGCCGCGGCCGCGGCGGTGATGGTGGTGGTGGGCGGTGTGTTGTCAAAGCGCAGCGGAAACACAACATAAACCCATGAAAACAAATGATGCAATCAGTGGAAAACAATCAAAACAATGAACGGTGCTGAAACAATGCAATTTTGCAGAAATCTTTCAAACAATCATATGGTAGAAGCTTGGGAGAAATCAGGAGAAACAGGAAGAACAACTACTAATACAAAATGGGTTTTGCGCCAAGGTATCTTTTCATCGCTGCCCTTGCACCTGCCATCACCTTCGGGAGCCGCTTCTTGGATGGAACGAATGGCCAGTTCGGAGTGTTGGAAATGATAATTTCAACAGCACTTTCTGGTGTGCTCTTTGCCAGCACTTCTGGACAGCCTTTGTCAATCCTTGGCGCAACTGGTCCTTTCCTGGCCTACACGCTTGTGGTCTATGACCTTGCGGTAGGAAGCGACCTTGAATTTATGCCGTTTTATTTCTGGACCTGCATGTGGTGCTCGCTCTTCACCATCCTTGTGGCTGTCTTTGACCTCTGCGCCCTCATGAAGCACGTGACCATGCTCCTGGGTTAAAGCATGGTAGGGATCCAATCTGCAGAGCGCATTGCCTTGAACTGTTTTAAAGAGATTTGGTGCGAGAATCTTAGGTTCTCGGAAGACATTTTTGCGGGCCTCATTTCTTTGATCTTCATCATTGATGGTGTGAGGTGGGACTCATGTGAATTCCCTTGCTCAGCATGTGCCTTTGCACGTCACTCTCCACTTCTATCATGAGACGAGCACGCTGTCCGGGGTGAGACGCAGGCCCATCATTGAGAACTTCACGGAGAACAGGATGACCCTGACAGCCGCAATGTTCGAGGCTCTTGGTTTAAAGTTTGGGGGGCCACGTTGCAGTAGTCAAATCGCAAACTTTCGAGGCATTGCTCTTCATCTACACCTTTGGCCTGGCGACCTACCTGTCCCACTTCCGCCGAACGCCGTGGCTCCTCAGGTCCATGCGTAATCTCATGGCCAACTTCGCAGTGACCATCTCACTGGTCACAGCCTCGGCGCTGGCGGCGATCTACTCCAGCGACACGTCCCTGAGGATGCTGAGTGTGGATGCCGACTTCTCCCCGAACTTGGTCTTGTCTGATGGCAGCAAGCGTCCTTGGATCGTGAATCCCATGGGCCTCGAAAAGGACTTCCCCGCCTGGGCCATTGCTTATGCCATTCTGCCAGCGCATCCTGAGTGATTTGGAACATCTCTCGGTCAGTTCCTGCTAGGTCTGTCAAAGTGGTTACGTTTCGGGGTTGTATGTCTAGGATCAGCTACAAGGATCGGGTTCGCCGTGCTCGGATACCTGGACCAGAACCTGACCTCCGTGATCGTGAACAGGCCCTCCAACAATTTGAAAAAAGGTCCTGGCTACCATCTTGATTTATTTGTGAGGGGAGCACTGACTCTGCCTGCATGCGCCGTGCTGGGCCTGCCCCTGTCCGTGGCCTCCACGGTGCCCAGCATCACGCATGTCATCTCCCTGACCACCTACGAGGTGAAGCAGCTGCCCGAGGGCGAGGTCAAGCGCCCGGCAAAGGTTGTGGAACAGCGTGCCACCAATTTCTTGATTCATGTGCCTGGGTTGTCCTTTGGGATCTTTTTTGAGTCCACCTCCGATTATTGTGTAGAGAACCATAGTCGTAAATAATTTTCAAAGGGCTTAAAGGACAACCCAGGTCCTGATCGGGTGTGCGCTGTTCCTCGCCCCGGTGCTGAAGTTCCTGCCGCGGGCCGTGCTGCAGGGCGTCTTCTTCTACATGGGCATCGCCTCGCTGACAGGCAACAACCTCTTCGACCGTCTTTTCCTGTGGCTGATCTGGGACTCTTCGAAGTACCCACAGTACCACTACATCCAGAAGCTGCCCATCAAGCGGGTCCACCTCTACACCGTTGTCCAGGTGATTTGTTTGGCCATTCTCTACGGTCTTAAGGCCAGGCGTAGGGTGACGACTTAGGCGCCCTGAGTTGCTTGATGTCTAGGACTTTGGCATCCTGACATTCTTTAACTCAACGTTCTTGAGGCCATCAAAGAGACTTCGGTCATCTTTCCCTTCTTCATGGCGTCCCTGGCCTTCATTCGCAAGGCAGGGCAGGGTGAGGATTGCATTGATTCGGACGGGACTCCATCAACAAAGTGGGCTGCCCATTCCCGCACCAAGGTTCAAGACACTGTTTTGGGTTTCGATTGCTTGTAGGGCATAGGTGGCTGTCATATGCATCGTAAAGCCATTGGAAGCAGTCTCAATCACTGTCATGTAGGCAACTGTTTTCTGCCGGTGTCCCAGAAGATTGTCAGTCGTCGTTACCGTTGCCACTTTCCTGTGATGGTGTTCAGTATCATGACGTCACTACACAACAAGGACCAGGTAGTGTTGAAAAGCTGGAATGAGAGTGCTAGATGGGCACAGGCAAGTACCCAATATGATATGCGTACGTTGGACTTCTGCCTTCCGTGTGGGCTGGTACAACAAGTAGGATTCTCCGGATCGTCTTCAAAGGAGGAATCCCCAAATTGCCAGTATACTTTTGAGGATCTTTTGGGATCTTTGATGTTTCTAGTTTGGTTTGTGCAGACCCCAGACTTCAAACTTCAGCAGACCTTGTGGAGGGCCTCCCAATCTCTCCTGGAGGCTGGTGTTACGGATTTAGTGCCGTGAGATGTCACCAGGACGCTGCTCACTTGCGGGGCTACAGACTACGCTGGGTCTGAGTTCCAACTAATCATTAAGCTTCTCAGCACCTTGAAGTAGCAAACTATATGCACGTGTCTCTCAACAAGGTCGTCCCAAACCCTGAGCCACTTGTCCCTGTAGTCCTTGCCGACACAGTGCAAAGAAAAACAGAAAACGAAGCAATGGCAGGCCATGAGGTTCCTCTTCACCGAAGAGGAGCTGAAACTGTTGGACAGCCTCCCTGATGAGGACGAGGATACCGAGGCACATCTCAGAAGTCACTCTGATGTTGAAGCTCCTCCTGCAAGCTCTCCCAAGCTTGCAGGGTCTGAGCGAGAAGCCCGACCTGCTGAACCTCGAGAAGGCAGATTTGGGAGAGCGCACTGCCATGCGCTGCATTCAGGTACGACTTCAGATTTCTAGTTGCCTCAGTTCCCTGTCTCAGCATTCTCAGCTTTCAGGAGGGCAAGGCAGAGAGCGAGGAGTCCCGGAAAGCGGAGCGTGAAGTCTAAGTCACTCGAGCCAGATGCATTTGCCATACCAGTAGCTAGCAAAGCCCAGAGCTTTGAAGTTTTCCTGCTTTTATGCTGGAGGCCCTAGGGCTCCGAATAAACTTAATTCGGTGATATGAGTTTTGGTTCTTCGGAACTCGCTGGCGAAGGCCCGGGGTACCCGGGCCTTCGTGCGGCCAAACCCGGACCAAGCAGCACTGGCCTCAGCGGTGGCAGATAGCGCTGCTGCTCTTGGCGCTTGGATCCCAAACAGTGCAGCCCCCTACTGGGCAATAATTATTGGGCACTGCGGCACTCTGAAGTTCCGCTAAGCCAGGACCTCGCCTGAGGCGAACAACTGAAAGCCCAACGTGTATAGCTTCTGTGGCTGCGTGCCACTAAACCCCTTACCCGTCTCCGCAGGGTGCGGAAAATGGAATCAAATGGAGACTCCGCAAAGGGCGCATGTGCGTCTTTGCAGAACATTGGACAACGGTCCAGTCTAATCCCTGTCACATCATGGCTGATGGAAAGCTGAATTGTTCTAAGCAACGAGTTTTACCTCACAGCGCGACTCTGTAACTGCAGCTCCTCTTCTTGTTCGACACGCGGTTCTGGGCTGTTTTCCGGGACTGATGAGGTGTCTCCCCGAACTAAATGGTCTCCGTGAATTCTCCACTTCCCCCGTCGTGGTGTCAGAGTGGCTTCCTCATATTACTTTGTTCAGAGCTGGATACAATTGGATGGATGCCTTCACACTAGCTCATAACGTGACTCACGTTGGGCATAACACATTGGCTCAGCAGATGTCAGCGCAGCAGACCCACGTTCGACAACTGGTCATGTGGCTGTGGCTCTCTACAAGATGTTTCCATGGAATAATCGGACTTTTTATTTGGACGCTCGCAAGGAGGGACAAGCCCCGCTAAGGTGGCGCACCTCAAACCCCAGCCCCGCTACAGGTGGCCCTCCTCTTGGACCGGAAGAAGGCCAGCGGGGCCAACAGGAGAGCCAGCTGATTTGCAGGCTCCCAAAAACTCATACAAGCTATGTAACGATGAACCCTCAGCCGTTTCATACGCTTCCTGTGTTATGATTTATCTCTTTCCTATTCTAAGCAGGAGCGCGGCCGAGTCATCCTTGTCTTGTTCTCACGATTGCAGAGTCTCCAGTATCCAAGCAGCTTGGGCTCGCCATCCAACTTTACAGAATTGAAATGAACTTCATCACCAATATGGGAACCTTGCTTCAGATTTAGTTTGCTTCATGCATCAGTGTCTCACAGAAAAAGTTGCATGAAAGTTGCATGATATCCCCAACCCCTGCACAAAGCCCCAGCATCTGCATGCCCATACTCTTTTGCAGAGGCTGAGCTGGCGCGGCAGAAGGCTGAGGCTGAAGAGGCCCCTAGAATTGCATGGGGAAGGTTGGGAAGTTTGGTTTAGGTTTCGAGGTCAGGGTTTGCAGGGGCTTCGGTAGTTAAGTGTTCTCATAGTCACAAGCCTTTGCGTTTAACGATGCCTGGAATGATGTAAGTACGACTCTGACTGAAATTCCACATTTGTTATATCCTTGATCCATCGTGTAAGTTTTCCTGAACCAGAGTACTGCCGAGGTGACGAAGTTGTTGATTTAAAAGAAACAGCCGCAGAAGCATTTTGTGAACCAACGGTGGCAAGACACAAGTTGTAAACTCTTTTTTCCCGTGCAGTTTTTGATTTCTCGTGCTGACTGTGGCCAGGCATGAGAAGCTATGCTGGAGCTGTTTTGTTACCATCACGTTTGCCGAAACACTTGATGGTGTCATGCTCGACGGAACGTTTCTTGCCAAGAGATCCCTGACATAACCTGGAACTTGAGCAGATAACGCAATGTTCTTTTACTAGTCACACGTATTAGTGCCGATAGCAATGGTACTCACCATGGTAGCAGCAATACTCATATTCCTTCCACGCTGAAAATGCTAGTTCTCCAGTCCAGAATATTGTCATGCCAGGCGGCAGCTGCCAAGGCGGCCGAAGAGGCCAAGGAGGAGCAGGCAAAGGCAAGCTGGCTAGCTGCTTGTGCCATGTGATCCTTTTCGTGAGTAGCTTCTCAGACTTCCTAGAAGTTCTCCTCATTTGGCCCGTGTGGCCCCAGTATGGACAGGCCAGCGATCTGTGCTTGGCTGGGTTGATGGGTCCCCAAGTAGTTACGTCAGCTGTGAAGCCATTTGCATGCTGTGCCGTCAAGTTCACAAGTCTGTGATTCACTGTGGGAGTGTTGATGGATTGCATGAGGCTTTCTTTGGCCTTCATTCTGGGGTGTATTCCGGCTCATGCAAGGCCATCGCATTCGGCTTCAATTGGAATCAAACCAGCCGTTCTTAATTTTGTGAGATGTGGATGAAAATGGCGTGCTTACTCCAGGGCAAAGAAACTTTGATTTATTGGTGGTGGAGAGACGGTCCTAAAGCAGGCTCTCAATGTTTCCATTCCATTCTGAGGTTGGAGCCTTACTTGTAGGTGATGCATGCAGCCCAACTTAGCTCCCTCACAAGCAGCCACAGGCCACCGATGAGCCTACAGATGGCGCCGAGGCTATGGGGAGCTTTCATGAATGTCGCAAAGTGCGGACTCTCCGCAAAGAAGGTGTTGGGAAGCAATCTGACAAGAGCAGAGTGTTGCATTCATCAGAGCAAGCCTAGGTGGTGCAGGCTGCTGTTGCCGTGGGTTTGCAATTCTCCGCATCCTTCTACAGTGGAGGCACCGGCCGATGCCCCAGCTGCTGAGCCGGCAGCCGACGATGCACCGGAGGCCAGGTCAGGGCTGCTGCGTGGCTTTCTCTACCGTGCCTCTGTGAACGTTTTGTGGCGGAACTCCTGTGGCCATCTCCGATGCTCTTTGTTGGCTGATTGTGGAGCCTAGCTGAGGGTAGGCTCGCAATCTACAAGTCTTTTCATTGGATCAGTAACCCAAGTTGACCTGGCAAAAACTCAGCTTCTCAACATGGCTCAATGCAGAAGCCGACACCTCCTTGGTGCAAGCATCCCAAGACTCTGCATGGCCGAGTTTCACATTCCTCGTCATGCCAACGTTTCTCCGCAGTCCACGGATCCCCCGCCGGAGCCGCCATTCGAGCCAGTGCAGCTGAAGGACTTGCCGGGGCCCGAATCTAACGTAATGCGCGATCGGTTTGCAATGTCAGTTGTCTTCGAGCAACACCAAATGCTCTGACTTGAAAATCAGCTCCCTCGTCTCAGTCCCTTCCCGTCCCCTCGCCTGTCCATTCCAAAACATTATCAACAATTCATGCAAGCTTGCCTCTGGCTCCACAATGTTATCAAAGTAAACGTGAGTGGCAGACTGTCGCTGTCGTTAATCTTTAATTTGCTAATACTTAGCAATCCTGTATGCCAGGCTTAAGCACAAGGCTTTTGAGCAGGTAGAGAGGAAACCAATTCCATGTTGTCAGTCCTGCGCACCGCGTCACAAGGTTTGACTTCAGGGTCGATGTTTGGAGCACCAGCCGAAGCACCGCATCTAATTTCGGCCGGGTGTCAAGCGAATCTTTCGGGGAAGCTAATTTCGCTTGACACTGAAGCTCCTTCCCACATGGGGGTTTTATAGGCCTTTTGGTCGGGAAGATGGATTGGAGCGTTCAGAGCTCAGCCCAGGCCTTCGCACGTGGAAAAGATCGAGGGTCCAGTCTTTGACCTCCTGATGCAGGCTCTGTAGTGGTCTTTGAGGTGGAGGGTCGTCTGGCTCAACCTTCCAGGCAGTCATATGGCTGACCCGCCCCAGCAACCTACGCAAACTTCACAGCTTGCATCAATGATTTTTCACTTTGGCAATGCTCGGCAAACATCCCATGCAATTGGAGAAACCCAAGGAGGTTTCTATGGGCTGGTCAGCTTCTTTGTTGGTTTGTCGACGCATTTGTCAGTTGCACCTGGGACCATGACATTCCAACCAGCGCCCTACTCGAAGTATCATGCTCTCTGGCAACGATTAAGCTTTATCCTATCTAACATTCACATTATCATCGTTCTTGTGAACAGTAGACAACGTGATCGCCAGGAATGGACGGAGCTCCAAGACAGCTTCGTGGCCGCGTTGCACCAGCTCTTCAACTGGCTTGGTGCCAAGCAGATCATGGGAACGCAGGGCGTTGCTTCACCAGCACCTTCAGGTTGTCAGCTGGAGTGGAGACGTGAGTCCTTGAAATAGTTGCATTTCTTGCGCATAGTCTTTGTTTTGTTTTTCGCTACCCGACTCCTCCTTAAGCCGCGCATTTGAACAACAACGCGGTCCTGCGGCGCTCTTCCTTCCCGCGCTTGCAGATGGTATTCAAGCCTTTCCCCAGGCTGCAGGTTTTTTGCAGGTAGAGGTTTTGTACTTGTTTAGTGTCCCGCCAGCCCAGAAAACTGGTGACAGAATATTGGCTTCCTGGAGGTGGAGTAGCCGTAGCCAATACACCGAGCCTTGTTGATATTATGAGGGTGACAGGATAGTTGCATCCCGCATGCATGGACTGAAAGTCTGTCCCAGATCTCGAAAACATAGGCATCAGATCGAAATTGATCTTACACTTATCTACCCCTCAGCAGAGACTGACCCAAGGGCTTGTTCTCCCAGGCATCGATGCCATCTTTCTGATTTCCGGAGTGGCCTCTATGGTGTCGCGAACCTCAGCTGTTGCATGTAGACACCGCCCAGCATGGTCTAAGGCTTGTCCAGCAGGGTCTGTTGCCCTTGCGTCTAAAAAGTCTGGAGACCGCTCAGATGAAGCAGCGCTTTGCGGAGTACTTGCAGCGCGTGGATGGGAAGCAATCCCTGGTGGACGACTTTGTTCGAGGGCTCAGCTAGTGTGCTCGACAGTGCTCGAGGTATGTATCTTCGCGTGGCTAGGTTTTACAGCAGCTTCCATCATTTGACATGAGAACGTGCGAACGCGAGTCTTTTTGCATAGGCAGACCCGCGCCACAATGACAAGTGATGACAAAACGTTGGTTGGGGGAGTTGCTCCAGGGGTCATTGAATGAACTTCAAGTCCTTGGTCATTGATTTTGAAGGGTCCCAGCCCCAAGACCACTAGCTTGTACGGGCCAGCCGCGTCGGTCTCGTCTGCCTTTCAGGTAGGACAAGTATACAGGCGCAACAGCATCTAGGAGAGGATGGTGTGATTGTGTGTGGGCTTGATTTCAGGATCATTTGCAACGGCTCCTTGTGTTGGAAAATACAGCCCATGTGGAGGCAAGTCCACAAGGTATGCAGAGGCTGCTTCCTCCGGAGGTTGTTTGGCCTTCTCTCATAGACTCCTAGTACAAGTCAGAAAATAGCGCCGGTGGATAGCGTATGGGTGGCCAAGGTCCTGAACTTCAATGCGTTCACGGAGGAGTATCCCGACATGCGCAAGCAGGACCTCCTGATGTCGAAGTGGGCCTCCGTAAAGGGCTTAAGTCCTTCTTCCGTTTGAGTTCTTTCCAGGCGGGAGGACTGCGAAGTTCTGTTTGTGAAGAGGGAGGGTTTCCATAAAGGCCACTCTTTCTCTACGTGGACCTTCCCTGCGAAGGACGCGACGAAGGCTGAGTTTCACCTCCGAGCGGACGAGCTTCACAGCAGGCTCAAAACTGAGGCCGGGGACTCAGCAAACTCCAACATGGAAACAGGCTACTGTATATACTATTGTAGATATCATGTTCGGAAGGTTGCTCGATTCAATTTTGAACTCTTGAGCGCTTGCGGCAGCAGAAGTTTCACGGGCGTAGGGCTTGAAAGTCAGCGCATCGCGCGGTACTGTCTGACTTTGCTTGAGGGAAATCAGAAACAATGAATAAGCAATTGCCGGCAGAGGATTTGAAAAGATGTTCGCACCATTCTGTCCAGGTCTGTCAGATGGGAGACAGGAACTGTCACCGTTTCATATGCACTCCCTTTTTGGCTCCCCATTTTGGTGTCGGTCAAGCCACACAGTCAGAAGCTGAGTGTGCGTGTGGAAAAGCTGTGTTCTTTTATGTGTACTTGTCTCAACCCATTGTTCGGTCCAGCTTGCAAAAAAAAACGACAGTATGCGTTTGGCATACAAAGGAATCGAAGAGGGACTCATGGCTTCAGATAGGGAGGGAGATGGAACTAGATAGATAGATAGATAGCTTTCCAGGTGGAGAATCAGCGTGCCGCCAACTTGGAGCAACTGGAGGCTTGGATTATAGAAGCACGTTGACAGGCTGGACGTCACCTGCTGCACATGAAACAGGAGAAAGACGTGCCTCACACGCAACTTCATGCTGCACGCTTCTTGTGTTGGATGGAGACGGCTCTTGGCTTCTGATGTGTTTTCGCTTCAGCTGGCGGCCAGGTGCTGCAGACCAGCCGCTGGCTGGAGTCGCAGACAGAAGTGCTGGCCTCACAGGCCGCGAGCATGTGCAAGGCTGTTGTTCGAAGTCTGCATGCTGACAGACACAAAAGGGTCTGAGAGCTTCTGGGGCAATGCAACTGGCAGCTTGCACTGCAAAATCTCCTGACCATTCGACCAAGTAACTTACTGCAAATTTTGCTTGTGCAATACACCATTATGCCGAAGCCTTTGGTTACAACTTCTGACTTGAAACATGCATCGGTGACCTCTTTGCCCCACTGAAAATACTCGTGTCCCCGGTTGATGCATATCCCAGCCGATAATGCTGGCTTTCTGAAGCTGTAAAAGCAAGAGCTGTTGCTGGGCCTGCTCTGCAAGTGCTTGAGGGCACGGTGCAAGTTATCCTTGCATCATTTGGCTTACTTACTGGTGGGTAAATGATGTAAATGGGGAAGTAGTTGCCTCAACAGGTTCAGCACGCTGTTCAGCTGGAGGTCAAGCAGCAAGCTTAGTGCCAGCCTGCGTCGTTCCCTCTCGTTGTTCTGACTCATCAGACCTTTCATGTCAGGGAGAAGTAGAGGCACCCGTAATAGCACAGCGCAGCCATTCATCACAATATCCATAGCAAGGACATGGTCGCTATGTCATTATCTCCTGGACAGTTTTCTTCCAAAGTGACAACACACGATAGGGCAGCTCACGAAGTACGAAACCTCAACCCAGGCCCACGCAAAGTCGCTTTACGAGCCTGTCTTGTAAAGCATGAGGCGGTACCACTCGACCTGCCAACTCCTGAGCGACTTCTACTACTCTGCCATGCACATGGGCTTGCCCGAGGTGCGCGCAGTTGCATTGGGATGGCTCTTGTTTCTACTCTTGCCACATCCGGAGCCTTTTTTGCAGAAGGGTATTTCTTGTCAAGAGTCATGAGTGGCGGCTGGAGAATGCAGATCCGCAGAAACATCAACATCGAGCCCTTTGCTCAATCTCACGGGGGATACGACTTTAAGTTAATTTTGTTTACAGATTGTTCTTCCGCAAGATGCTGAAAATTCAGATTCTCATTCGAAACCAGGAGCACCAGCCTCCACCGAAAGTGGACGTCTTCCAACCAGAGGCGGCGCCTTTGACATATCTTTTGCTCTGCTGATGTTTGCGTCGCAACAATCCCTGGAACTGCAAGCTGAAGGTTGTACTGTGGTTGAAGGATTCATGATATGTGTCAGATGCACTGCCACATCAATTTCAGATGATATTGGTCTTAATTAGGGCAGTTAGGACAGGATCTTGGGGAAATACGTTTTCTGCCTCTTCAGGCAGCTTTGAGCAACATGCTGGAATTCATAGACCGCAGAGCATATAGCACATGGTCCAAAACATGAGAAGGAGCCTGAGGAGGTCCCGGACCCGAAGAAGAAGGCAGCGAGCAGCAACTGCAGCTCTTGCCTGTGAGATTTTTCTCTGAAAATCATGGGCTGCTTTGCTCGAATCGGGATCCTGGTTTGTTGGCGAGAAGTGTTCCAGACAGACCCAATTTTGAGAAGTATCTACCTGGGTCAGTTGTTTGCAGGATCTAGGCGGCTGTCGACGTAGTTGAAAGCCGAATGGAAGCGGGATTCCTCCACGAAAGTCTTGCAGTAGACTTCTGCACGCATCCACGCTGCATACTTCACGTAGCAGGGGACCACGGCCAAACAAGCCCATGTCCTTAGATGTTTGCACGCCGTGGCCGCCACCAGGAGGCTAGAATGTCGGAAGGGGGAAGCCTGCAGTTACTGGTTTGCCACGTCATGGGTTCAAGTAACCCTCCAAGCAAAACCATTTCGGATGCCCGTACATGATCCTTATCAAAACGGCCGCACAGTTTTGCGAAGTGAGAAGACCCAAGCTAAGCTAGCCGGGCACAACAGATACTGTATGTCATGAACGGCTTTTCTCCAATTGCCTCCCTAAACTGTTTGAGCCCTTTTTCTGAGTTGGCTGTGGCTTGCTACAAAGGAGAAGGACAAGAAGAAGGCGAAGGATGAGCCGCCGGAGCGCTCCCTGTGGTTGTGGGATAATCACAGCGATGAGAGTCATAGATGGACGACAAGAACCACACGTAAATAGGAAACCCCACAGCACTTTCTGCAGCCTGGGAGATTCATCCTCAGCTACTCTGCCGTTGCAGACATGTGAGCCTGGCCAGGAGCCCGTCATCAGCCCTGAGGAGAAGGCACCACGTTTCATGGCAAGGCTCAAATCCAGGACCTGGAGCACCGGAGTAGTAGGGAATGTTCTTTGTGAAGTGATGTGAAAGCTTCCACCCTACCGCAGAAATGATTTGGTGGGCCATGGGTGGCAGGCTGCTGCCAGACTCTGCCGATGGGTAGAGCAGGAGCTCCAACCTCAGATTTGCGGAAAGATAGTAATAACAATAATGGTCATAATGATAATGGTTATATGGGGGATAATGGAAAAGAAAATGGAAACTACTAAAATGGGTCATATGTTGCTGTTTTGGGCTGCACAACCTAGCGCTCAGGTCACGGGCTGAAATTGTAGCCGCTTAGACTGGGCAAACGACAGCACGTGCAGAAGCACTCTTAGGTCTGGTGGCCACTGGGAGTTTCCTTTCCTCTCCGCTCCGGCCTCGGATTGGCTGAGCACGGCTGAGCCATCTGACAGAAAGGTATCATGGACTAGGATACAAGGCTTTGTGCTCAAACATGCATCAGCCACACGCACAGGATTTGATGGACCAGGCGCAGAAAGCTGTGTGGAAGCCAGAGACACAGCTGGGCTTGTTTGCGCCTGCAGTTCTGTACGTGTGGGATGTTTGGTTGAAGGCAGGGACAGAAATTGCAATCCGGTGAGTGGCCAATTTATGGTATTTGTTCCCGAGGCACTCGCTGTTTTGATTTCCAAGCTCAATTTCCATCAACGCCAAGCCAACTGACAGCCACTGCACTTGAAGCACGGATGGTTTCGAGGTTGGATGACTTCCGCCCGCCAGCCATAGAGGCAAATGCCGGGAGCCTGGAGCGCTGCGGGGAGACGGGCAGGGTGTGGGACTCGAGACGCGACTGCCCCGTCAAGACGTTGATTTTTGTGTTGATGAGCAAGCCTTCGCACTTTTTGGCAGATGAAATCTGAAGGAGGAATGGAGTCATAGTCTTCAAGACTCGCCTTGCCAAATTCATGACTCGGTGTGAATGGAACACAACCAATGCGAGGTGCCCGAGGAAGAAGAGAAGGAAGATCCCAAGGCGAAAGCCAAGGCGGGAATGTCTTAGGCCAGCCCAGTTTGCGAGTCTACCATTGCATTTGATTTCCTCTCGCCCTCGTAGTGCCTTGACAACACCCCCCAAAGATACCGTCAATGTACAGAAGCTGCGTGCAGCCAGGCAAAGGGGAAGGCGAAAGCCAAAGCAAAAGCAAAAGAGGAGGAGGCCCTGCAGCATCCCCTCGAGAAAAAGCATTACTGATGCGTATGCTCAGAAAACTTTCATTTCGTTGCACAAATATGCATCACATGCCGGCACCAATGTGATAGCTCGGATTTCATACTGCATGATACACTTTCCTGGCTAACTTAGCGTAGTGCTGACTGTGAAGACAACACCTCGTGAGAGTATGTGTGCCTGACCTTGCTTCTTTGAAGCTGCAGCATGTGGGTCTTTTCTATCATTGCTGGAAGACGGGATAGAGCCAGTTTGGGGGCGCAAGCGGGCTAGATGTAGATGAGTTACAGGTATGATGAGCTTCTTCCTTCCGAATTAGTAGCATCGCAAGCCAGCCAAGTGACAGTTGGTCGACACTGCTTGAACATCCACCTTTCAATCCTTGAGAAAAAGGTGTTCCCTTCTATCACTCCATGCAGATTCCCACGAGGGAGTCCAGCGTGCAAGGCTCCTCCACCCCCGCCACAACCAGCACCGGCCCTTTTCGTGGACCTGCAGCAGGCTTGTCCGGACCGAGAAACTTTTTGGGAATCATTACCGCAGATTGTGGGACCAATTCTCCGCAGATTCTGTAGAGCTTTACAAGATTTTTCTAGGGATTGGTGCATTCCTCGCTCGAGAAATGCTCATTGGTTGAATCCAGCCAACTTTCCTGTCAAGGAAGTGGGGCTTTAATTCAGTGCTTTAAAAAATGCTTGCATATGACTACTATGAGTTGTCAGGATTCTCGCGGGTCAGCTGCATGGGCACCGCGCAGAGCCCTGAAATTTAGAATGGCTCCAAGGATTCGTGCTTGCCCTACTTGTACATGAGTATGCAGGCAGAAACAGGTGCTACACCCTCATTCCTATATTCTCGTCATAGTTCATCCAGCTAATTTCGAGCGAACATATCTGTCTGGTGAGCATGAAGGACAGAAAAACATGACTCAGCCTGCGCAAAGAGGAGAAGTCATCTTCTTATTGTGATTGGTACAACCACGGCTATGATGATGATGGTGATGATGATGATGATGATGATGATGCGGATGATGCGGATGATGATGATGATGATGATGATAATGACGACGATGAGGACGAAGCCGGCGGTGACGATCATGATGACGACAGTAATAAAGATCATAGGGAGAAAGATTTTCATCATGGCAAGCTGCCGCTGCCGCTGCGGCTGTGTCCTAGTGCTGCTGCTGCTGCAAAAGAAAAATGACAACCGGAATTTCACCCGTTCGGAGTAGAACATGCATGGCTGAATCCCACAGTACAGCCATCTTGGCCCACACACGGGTCCAGAAAATGGTGGTGGAAGCATCCTGCTGGTACTTATGGTGTAGTCAGCTTCTCTTCAACATGAGCGGGCACCGAAGCCATGCCATCAGGACAACAACAAGTCTGCTAAAGGAGCCGCTGTTCTAGTGTCTCCCTGTCTTCAAGTTCGTCTGGTTGAACCACAGTTCCTTCCATCTATGAGCCCATCCAGTTCAACAAGTCAAAGTCTTCTTCGACCCCTCCCTGGACGTGTATGTATTCACACTCATAACCCAACAGCATAGTTAGTACACCTCGGAAAAGCATCGCTCCCCTGCTGCTGGATTATCAGTAGGACAACTGTTGATGTACGCCGACATCATGTTCTTCAAAAATGTTATTGCCACCGCCATTATTGTCATCATTGTGGCATGTTACACATTATTTGTGAAAAAGCAGAATTATCATTAGTACTAGCACCAAGCCTTGCACTCCAGCTGTGGCAGGCATTGCTCGCGGAGCGCGTGACATTCTGTCACAGGCGCCCCAGCTGTCACAATGCAACACCTGACTTCTGGGAAGCATGAAAGCATCCGGCAAAGTTCCTGCAGGGGTTGCAGGTATATGATGGATCGGTCGATGGATCTTATGCGGGGGTGCGGGCCGCTCTAGAATGAATTCGAAGTTGCACTGGTCTTTAGGAAGCATGCCTGTACCTACCTCTTCAACAGATTCACGGCAAGGAGGAGCAAATGACAAGGCAGAGCTTCCCAGCATAGAAGCCAGGATGTAAGTCATGTGTTACACGGAATACACACCATATGCGCTCAATTAGTTTATTAGAGAGAGGTCTCTAGCAAGCATTTTTGTTTAAACAGAGGCCCTGCATATTTGGGGCCTTCCACTCAGATAAGCCTTTTGAGGCTAACCACCATCCGTGGCTGGGCCTTGCGGCGGCTGCAGCAGGCGTCACAAGCGAAGCAAAGCTGGCGGAGCGAATGAAATGGAAAAGCCAATAAAAATCGGTGTATATGGGCATTCTATATATGTTGCCTGTCGTGGTAGCATGACTGGCATTAGTGGTCAGAATATCACCTACTTTGGCCGTGCTGATTCAGTGAACTCTCTGAGTAGTGTCATCCCTAATTAGCCTGTTGTCGATCTATGCAAGCCCTGCCATTCCCTAAGCTGCTCTTGCAACATGACCAGCCAGCCTTAAAAAGTCTGGTGAGAGACGGCGACGCCCCTGGGAAGGCTGCAAGCTCCACGAAAGCTACCTTCGGGCAGCTAAATGACTGGGTCGTCCTCAGAAGGCCTCCATGTGCATTGTTGGCTTAATAGGCAGCAGCAGCTTCATGATGGCAACCTTTTTTTTCAGAAAACAGGCTTCGTAGACGTGAGCGGGCCAAACCAGCCGACAGGCACAAAGACCTGGAGTCCGTCTCCTGCCTGATCGACGTTGTGAAGGAGAGATTGCAAGAAGGGTTTCCAAGCCCAGGTTGACATGGGAGCCAAAGATAGCGCCGGCCGGTTGTCGCAGCCATCGTGAATTTGTCAGCATCTCTATGCTCAAGTCAATATGTTGTCACATGTTGACACTCTGTGGAACCTACGAAAACCATGGTGCCTGCGGCATCGCAGGAGATGTTCATCCCTCAACTGAAGCCAGTCCAGTTTGCAGCATCCTTTAGCTGGACTCAGGAGCATGTGGAGAGTGAGGACTTCATCAAGGCCTAGAATAAGGTTGATAGGTTTTCAATGAATGTGGGTGCGTGCTCGGGTGTATGCGGACTTTTATCGTGGATGGCCATTTATTTCAGGGTTTGGAGTCCCCCGGATGGTGACCTCGTTATGTGCAGTGTTGGGACCATCTTGCAAGGTGGCAGTCATCCTGGTTGGTTCAAGGCTAGTACACAGCACAAACCTAGGTGAGAGGCTGCGGTTTGATGGAAACGCGATGGTTCCTGGAACCTCAAAGCCATCCCTGTTGTTTGACTGATCCTTGCAGACCAAACTGAGCCTGGAGAATGCTCATCTTCATCGCAGGCAGGGCAGGGAGCACCCAATTTGTCGGGTCTAGGCCCATTAGATCGATGAGGATGCAGGCCCCACCTCAGCCCAGAAGCATGCAGCACGAATCCTTGCAGAATCACCTGTGAAGCATGGTGAAGTTGCTGGATGTCGTGAATCGTGCGGCTTCAATATCTCAAGGATGCAAAGCCAACGAATCTTCTTGTGATTTTATTCAGCCCACTTTGGGAACCTGACACTTCAAGTATGATTTGAAGAAGACATTGGGCGCAGAGATAGTCTGGCAACATCTGGATCATATCTTTCTTGGACAGCAGGTTAATGGTCTGGACCTTTTTTATTTTGCTCCCTGTTCACTCACCACGTTTTGACGGTTTTGCGTGTGACTAGAACCATTCCCGGCCTACCATCACCGCCCCAGGGCTTGTCCATCCTGACATTCTGCGAAGGAACCGTCACCTGCAACACTCTGGGATGTTCCTGCTTGCGCTAGCCGCCCCCAGAACCTGCGCTGCGATGCAATTGGCAGGCCGAATTCGCTCCTCCGAGCGCCGAAGCCGCCGATCGTGCCACCACCCGTTGAGGCCACCGGTTTCAGGAGTTTGTCTCAGAGATAACCGGATGGGAAGGTGCAAGAAGGGGTAGTGTGGAGTGCATCGCGTGGAACGATTTCTCCACATCCTGAGAACAGTAAGAGAGAAGGCTTGAACTCCTTTGAAAAACATTGCTTCTCCCCTTCTCCGCCTGCGCCAGGGGCTTTCGCCTTTCCGTTGGACGATAGAGCAGCTCTCTGGGCTCCTGGAGGCTCTACGAACAAGATCAGGGAGATCAGGGGTTTCAAGGAACTTCAACGGAGCCTTGCAAGGTTCAAAACGGTTAGTTAGTGCAGGGTTGGGGCATGTCGGCGGTCAGGGTTTGTGTTGGGCCGTGGTCAGGGGTTGGTACGTCTGGCGTCAGTGTGTTTGTGTAGAGTGTAGATGGGGCTAGCAGAGTAGCAAATTCTTGATGCTAGTTGCCATGCAGGCCGTCAGCCATGCCTGCCAGGGCATCTCGGCTAGCTGCAGGCGAGTCCGGGGGACGCATTCAGTAGGGTTTGTTTTGCTTTGCAGTCTCTTTGTCGAATTCCAAGTCTATGCGCCAGCGTACACGCTCAGCACTCTGACCCATGACTTTTAGGAGCTGCGTCTCGCAAGCTTAACTGCCTGGAGATTCTCATTAAACCAGGGACTCTTGGATGCCAAGCCTGCTATCTAGCGGCGGGCTTGTCTCGAGCTTGGGGTGTTTCAGATTTCCTGCCCGGCTTCGTTGGGGGTTAGCTCAAGGTATTGTTTGATGCCGAGAGCCTGAGACTGGGAGGATGCTGCCCAACTACAACTTGCTGGGCATCCTCTTGCAGCTAACTTCGGCAGCTTGGATGACATCGTTCCAGGTAGTTGAGCTTGGTACTGGTAGTGTGTCAGACCCCTGCATCAGTGGCTGCTAAAGTTGGAGAAAGAGGTGCCTATCAGCCAACCATTTCCAGAATGATAGTCGGTCACCGCACCGTGTTCACTGGCTCCAGTTCGAACGCCTCTTAAGATGGATTGTGCTGCTATCGTTCTGGTTGCTTTTGCTCCGCTTGTGCGTATTGTGCAGAGCACAGACAGTGTTTACCCATCCTCGGCGAACGTTCAACCCGGCCCGTGAAAATGCCCCGTTCTGTAGTCCTCGGACAGAAACCATGCTCTCCCAGGTATCCTCCGTTAGCTGGTGCTCAAACAGATCAGAAGTTGAGCAACTTTCCATCAGAGCAGTCCACAAGTTAAGAATGTCTAGCAGCTCTGCAAGCTGTTCCATCAAATTCCATTGTCTTTTTCTTTATCGAGATGGCCAAAGATAGTGCAAGTTGGCGACGTTCCTGCTGAGGCTGATGGAAGTGACAAGCGGACGGTCAAGGTACCAAGCAACTGGCCATTCTCTCAGCCATCAGCAGACGCAAGACTGTCCTTGTGGCGTCTCGGGCACTTCACTCACCAAATTAAACCCTCAGTTGTGTCACTTGCACTGGGGCCATTCAAATTGCAACTTCCGGTCTTGGTCCCAATTTTCGCGTGGCTCAAAGCTGTTTTCTTGACTTCGGCTTCCAAGTCGGATCCCAGAAGCTGCGATCAACCTTTCAGCATTGGCTTTAACTTGGCACCTTACAGCTTCCTGCAGACAACGACTGCTTTCGCTAAGGCGAAGCTGCGGCGCTGCAAAGCTGAAAGCTTTGTCGGGTAGCTGAGAGAAAGAACTTGCAGTATCGGAGCGGAATCGTGCTTGCGGAATGCGGCCACAAGCAGATGTATGCAAGCTTGTGGTCCTTCTTGAAGGCTTCAGAAAACCTGAGGCTGGCGACCTTCGACCATCCCTACTCCTCAAATTGTCGCAGCCTCAACAGTGGCACGAGTCGAACGGGATGCTACGAATTCAGGGAGCCAGAATAGCAGCTGCCATCTCTGGATGTATAACATACTTCCACAAACATGTGAGCAGAGCTTCCAGGTAAGCTCTGCTCAAGTCTTTCGCACCTCGCTGTTGCTGAGCCTACTTTTTTCTATCCAATGTCTCAGCACACAGCAGCTGAGCACGGGGTCTTAGATGGAAGGCTAGATGCAATAGCAGGCGACAGCATGCCGTAACACCAGTGGTAATTCCTTGCCATGGGAATCTCCATTACAGCAACTCAAGATATCGGGGACATGACATGCTGCATGCAAACAGTGACAGTTGAACGGTGCCTTGGCTAGCAGCCTACTCCTTCATGTCGAAGTTGCCTGCCAGGTATAGATGTTGTGGACTTCTTGCTCCACATGTGTCTGCTACACAGCCCCCTGGGGCCATGAGCTTACCGAGATAAGGTATAGGAAGCCAGTGCTCAAAGTCCTGTGGACCAATCTCCAAGCTCGGTGTGCAAACATGGCCCAGCAAGAAGACGCTTTGAAGTCATTGTGGCAAATCAGATGTTTGGTCTTTCAATCTGCAAGTCCCATAGCGGCCTAGGTGGCCCTCGCTGAACACATTGATGGAGGTCAGGAAGGTCCTCGAATCACAGGCTGCCAGCAGAGTCACTGTCGGAAAAAGGCATGCAGGGGACGCGCGGCTTCTTGCAATAAGCGGGATTCGGCTACAGGGTATAGACGACAGGCGGAAGGTTGGGATTCTAGACTTGAGGGATCCAGATCATCAAGATGAAGTTGTTTAGACGTGCTAAACCCCAAGAAGGCATCCAAAAGACTTTGGAAACCATTGCTGTATTTCCATATAGACTTGTAAGACGGCTTAGCGCACTCTCATGCGCCTTCACCGCTGCAGAAGCCGCAGAACGCATCCTGGCCAGACTTCTACGCAGTGAGCTCAGAGTTTTGCCCATGCAAGCCCCTCGGTCAACTAAGCTCAACATCCTGGGCAAGCCACAGCTGCATTTGCCTACCCTCTTCGTCACCGCTATATTGCTTGTTGGTATTTGGCTTATACTCATACAGGAGATGTTCTGCCCGACTCACCTGCTACAATTGTTTGGTAAAAAACAAAGTACATCAATAGAGCTAAAATCATTACCTTGCAAGCTTCAAGCTAAATCTGAGCTTGTGCAGAATCAACATGCTGCCTTTATTGCCACCAATCACAAAGAGGACCTCAACCCCAAAGGTTCGTTTTCTTAGGGAAGCGCCTTCGCGTACTTGTCGTACCTTGCTCCAAAATCGCGATTGACGACTGAAGGCTTCAAGGGACCTAGCTAGTGTGAAACTTGGGTTCCAACGACCAAACCCTTGAGCGCAAGATCATTGCACTGCACGATGTCGCGTATAGATGGGTTTTGTGCAATCACGAATTGGTTCTACAAAAGGCGACATGCTTCCAATTGCATTTGTTTCCAACCGAGGTGCCTGCTTCAGTCGTAGAGACTCTACCTCTCTTCGACGACCCAAGTGGTGCCGAGGACAGCTTCTCATTCCAACGGGGGCCAGCATAGCATAACACTCAGATTTTTTCGTAATCGCCCAGGACTAACTTGAAAGCTTCGAGCCAAATGGGCTTGGGATTCTCAGGAGTCTTTTGCGCGCAAGTTCAAGCCAATCACTTCAGAAGCGCCTGGCAGGCCATCCGGTGCGGGATAGGGCTGCAATAGCATAGTTCGGGCCCACTCGAGTCGCAGCGGCATTCGCAGCATCAGCATCATCATCATCATCATCATCATCGTCATCGTCTGTGAATATGCTCCCTAGGACCC